CCCCCGGATCAGACACAGCCCCCCTATCAGACACAGCCCCCCCCCCGATCAGACACAGCCTCGTCTGGCCTGGTGTGGCTGGGTCTGGGCCTGTGCTGCCGTCCAGCTCTGCTGATGAGGCCTTAGGAAGGCCTCCATGGGCGGCCTCAGGCCAGGGCATCTGTCTCTCCCCGGGGTCTGGCTGAGCACCTCCAGGACGCTTCTGGCCCCTCTGCTGGTTTTGCCACTGAGGACCTTCCTCTTCTGTGGTCCCTGGGAGAGTGATAGCCCTGAGGCCGGAGGGCATCCACGTGGTTCCTCTGGCCGGTTCTGCGGCTGGTGTTGAGGCACCATGAGGGGAAAGATGGACCAGTGAGGACAGTGGCCTTTTTCTCCAGACCTCTGCTGCCCTGGGGCCAAGAAAACATTCTCCAACTGAAACATCAACTGGGCTCAAAGATTGTTTCCCCAAGAAAACGTGGCCTTTGTAGGAGCAGATGGAGCGGAATCAGAAGTTGGGTGGCTGGGGTTTTCAGGCAGCGCTGGAGTCCCCGTCCTTGGGGGTTCAGAAGTTACTTCCCAGCACAGAGGAAGGGACAAGTGCCACAGCTCCAGGAAGCCCATTTCCCTCCCTCGGACCCCCGAAACACGGGGCCCTCCCGGGGCATGCAGTCAGCACTGCAAGGCTGGCCACTCCCGGCATCAAGCGTTGGGGTGAGGGTCTCCCCTGGCCCCTGGGGCTGTGACATGAGAGAGGCCATGAACCCAGGTGGCACACACACACTTTCCTTGCTGTGTGACTGTGGAAACGTTACTTAACCTCTCTGTGTTTCCTTGTCTGAGAGAAACGGTCGTAAGCCAGTGCTCCCCTCCATTTGTGAGTGCCGAACGCAAACCTGCCCGGGACAGAGCTGTGAGGGGTCAGCCTTGATCACGTTTAGTCTGGGATCCAGATGGGATTTATTCTGCTGTGAGATAGGAGGGATGGGCCCGACTCGCTTCTATTTCTAGAAGACATTCGGGTGTCCCAACCGCACTCGGTGAACTGTCCACTTCCCCCCAGCGACCACATGCTGGTTCCCCTGTGTCTTTGGGTTTGTCCCCAGCTTTCTGCTCTGGTCTTTGTCCACTCGTGAGCCACAGCACACTGTTCTAGTGACCACGGTTTTATGGTGATTCACTCTCTGGCGGGACTAACAACCCTCGCTGCTTTTTGTTTCTGTTTTTGTTTTCTTTTCTCTCTCTTTCTTTCTTTCGACATCAGAATGGGCTTGTTTGGTTCCACAGAAATCCTGTATTCTTACTGAATTGTGTTACCCTGGCGGTTGGCCCCGCGGGTGCCTGACGGCTCATCGATGGTGTAGGCACACCTGCAGCCCCCTGACACCCTCCCACCAAGGTGGGCTCTGCTTCCCGCCCTTGAGCGTGGCTTGGCCTTGGTGGCTAATTCTGATGAGTCACCGTGACCCTTCCCTGAGCCCAGGTGCCAGCCGTGCCCCGCCCCTGACCTGCAGGACCGTGACCCTAACAAACGACAGTGCATGTTTGGGGTAAAAACCGGAACAACCCTCAAGGACAGGGTTTGCCTTCCTGTTTGTTCTTTTGTTCTTAGATGAAAAAAATAGATCTTCCACATTGTTTATTCCACATTTTTTTAAACACCTAAGTGTTTCATTTTTTTTAATTCCTGTTGTTAGTAGGATCCTTTCTTCCAGCAGATTGTCTAACTTGCCCTTGAAATCTGGTGGTTTCTGTGTGTTAATGGGGTGTGTTCACCTAAGTGGATCCCGGTTGCTGGAGGAACTCTCCAGGTGCTTCACCCGGATCCTCAGGTGCGTGCTGATGTCGCCAACAGCAGGAGCTCACCTCTGTGCGGACGTCCCGTCTCGTCATGACTCCCCACAGCCGGCCCAGTGCTAGCCTGATGCTTCGGGGCGCCTGTGCTGAGGCCAGGGCTGGGGGTGTCCTGTCTTGGAAGCTCATGATTTGTTGGAGGAAGCAGGACAGCAAGGCCTTCTCATCCCGCTTCCCGGAGGGGGGCAGCCACCATGGGAGACCTTGCCCTGCCTGTTGGCTTTCGGTGCTGTTGGGAGGCCTCTGAGGGGTTTCCAGCAGGAGGGTTTGGACACGGGGGCTTTGAGGGATGCCCTTTCTCTTCGGTCCTCACGTGTCCCGCTCGGGAAGGGTTGAGCGCCCCCGGTCCTGTCCCAGCGCCACCCAAACGAGGGTGAAACCTGGGACCAGGGACCGAGTGGGGCAGACAAGTGGGCTGGAGAGTGACGGCCCCCACCTTTGCCGAGGAACCGCGTGCCCCCGTCCTGGGAGGCAGGACATCACCGACCGCCACAGCTCACGTGGACATCACCGCAGAGGGGATGGGTTCCTGCGCCAGGCGGTGCGGAGGGCAGGGCTGGAGACTGGTGGCCTTCGGGACACTGCAGCCAGGTCTGCGGATGCGACGGGGCTGGTGCCGCAGCCCTTGCTCAGGCCGACAGCCAGGCTGGATGCCTGCGCTCTGCAGCTGCCCAAGGACGGGCAGGGTCAGGACAGCCGCCCCGGGGGCAGAGGTGGACACTGGGGTGACCTGCAGAGCGGGCGGGTCTGGCCGGGGCAGCCGGGGTTCAGTGCGTCCAGCACTGCCTCCCGCTGGTGCCGAGTGGGATCCCAGACCAACCGCGGGAGCCTCTGCGGGTCCTGACCTGGGTCTCGGAGGACGGCTGGTGGCCCAGGAGAGGGAGCTTCACAGAGACCACGGGGCGTGGGGAGGCCCAGTGAGCACCACCCAGCTCAGCCACGCCCGGCCACGGTTTCTGAGACTTCTCTGCTCCTACTCCCCCCGTAGAAAGCGCCCGTTTTATTTCTGTCTCACCCAGCTTCATGACAGGAAATAGCAGGCCGTCGTGTTCACGTGGCCACTGAGCTGTTTTCTAGAACCCATCTGTTTCTTAAAGTGAAGGCACTGAGTTAGCTCGGTGGCGTTTTGGATGAAGGGCTGTCTCTCTGTCCTGCCCCTCCCTGGCCCTGCATTTCTCTTCCTCCTGTCAGCGACCTCAGGGGCGCCGCTGGGCAGCTCGCAGCTCTCAGTGTCCAGCGGGCACCGGGGAAGCGGGGGGACGGGGCAGAGGGTGAGCCACCCCCGTACCTCCTGGTGCGGCTGGAGCCTGAGGCTCCCTGGTGCGTGTGCGGGAGGGCTGTTGGCGGGGACAGCCGTGAGGCCCGCACGCTGGACAGAGAGGAACAGCCCCGGCTGTGGGTGTGGAGGTTTGACTCCTGAAATGAGTTGCTTCTCAGTGCCTCCCTGCACAGAGCCTCCCCCCCGCCCCCCCGCCGCGTGGTCCAGGGATGGGGTCAGGGGTCAGGCACAGGCCAGAGGCCATCTGTCTCAGGCCCCCGACCTGCTGTCTGGCCCTCTGCCTGCAGGTCCACGTCGTCAGGGCGGGTTAGCTGTGAACTTGGGCCTGGCGCAGCTCCAGGCCTGGGATGGGGACGTGGGGGCCATGCCAGGCGGCGGGCATGGCTGATTTCCATCCTGTGGACAGAGACCCCTTGGCACCAGGCTCCCACCTGCCCTCCTAGGCCCAGCCTCCTGCCCCCTAAGTCAGGGCAGCAGGGACCCAGGCCCTCCAGGCCCTCCAGGTCCCTGCCCTGGGCTCTGCAAAGCGACATTTAGTTTGCTTATCTGTTCCTTCAGACAAACACCTCCCAACGCCCTCCTTTCTGTGTCTTTGGATGGGTGTCAGCCTGGGAGCCCCCCTCAGCCTAGGGGACCTCCCTGCCCCACCGCCTGCACCCCACCCACACCTCACTACCCACCGGGCCATGTCCTTGCCATGCCCCACCCCACTCAGACCTGCCTCAGGTCCCCTCCTGCTGCACCTGGGGCTTCCAGGGGTCTGCCCGAGGCTACTGGGCTGGTGACCATGTGTGTGCACACCGGGCCCTGGCACCGTCCCCAGCTCACTGTGGAGCACCCACCAGGGCCTGGACCACAGCCTCGAACAAGGCCGATGTGGTCACTGCCCAGGAGGGACAGATGGCCGGCTCTCCGCCATGTGCAGCGCCCAGCTGTGGGGGCTGGGTCAGGGGCACGACCAGGGCGGAACTGTCGGGTGGGGCCCAGGTCTTGGCCGCGCCAAGGAAGCAGCTGAAAGCAGGGCTGTCCCCTTAGACAGCTGGATGGCTCTAGGTGAGGCGGGGCCAGGACCTGCCCTGCCAGGTTCCTGCAGGATCCTTTTGATTAGTGGGAATCTTGTCCATAGTTGTATTTTTTGGGAGACCTCTCTGCCCCAAGGTCATCAAAATATTCTCCCAGAGGCTCTATTTATCTGTCTTCCATGTTTAGATCTTCTGGGGGTGGGGGGGGTGAGGGGTTGTAGGTGTGAGGCCAGTGATGCTCCAGCATCCTCAATAGGGACACAGAGTTCCTGGGCTCCGGGGCCGCCCTGGTCATGCATCAGGGTCCCACGCGTGCCCAGCTCTGGCTCCGGGTCTTTGCACGGGTCCGTGGCTGCCCTCTCCATGCTGGTGCCGCTCAGCCTTAGCTAGGGTGGTGCTAGGGTGGTGCTTGGCGCTGGGTGGGGTAGTCTTGCTCCACTGTGATTTTGGGCATATTGTTAAGACAGGTGGACACACATGCATACCCTCCCAGCCCCGCCGCTGGGGTTGGAACAGTATGGCGTCTACTAATTGTGGGACAAGCAGCAACTTTTCTTTTTTATTGTATGGGATGGCCCTTCCTTCATTAGGTCTTTTAAATTTTTTCTCAATATTTTATGGGTTTTTTTGCATGAATTTCTTTTGTTAGATTTATCCAAAGATATTTGAATTTTTTTGTGCTGTTTTGTTTTTAATGTTCATTTCTGTTTGTTACTTGTTTATATGGAAATAATGGGTTTTTAGTATTGGCCTTGTGTTGAGTGTCCAAGCTACAAGCAGCCTGCTAAGTAATCCTAATACCTTTTTCTTTCTTTATTTCTCTTTCTTTCTTTCTTTCTTTCTTTTCTTTCTTTTCTTTCTTTTCTTTCTTTCTTTCTTTTCTTTCTCTTCTTTCTTTCATTGGGTGGGGGCAGAGAGGGAGAGACAGAATCTCAAGCAGGCTCCGTGCTGAGCATGGAGCTCAACTCAGGGCTCGTTCTTGCGACCCCAAGACCATGACCTGAGCTGAAATCAACTGAACCATCCAAGTGCCCCTAATACCTTCTCTTTAGATTCTTTATGACTTTCCACAAAATTATGTTTTCAGTGAACAGTAATGTTTTAATTTTTTTTAAAGATTTTATTTATTTGACAGCGAGAGAGGGAGCACAAGCAGCGGGAGAGACGGAGAGGGAGAAGCAGGCTCCCCGCCGAGCAGGGAGCCCGACGCGGGGCTCCATCCCAGGACCCGGAGATCATGACCTGAGCCGAAGGCAGACGCTTAACCGACGGAGCCGCCCAGGCGCCCCTGTTTTAATTTTTAAAGACTTGTATTTTCTAGAGCGGTTTTAGGTTGACAGCAGAATCCGGAGGCACAGGATTTCCCGTGTCCCCACCACCCGCGTCCCTGCAGCGTGCACGCATCACGGCCCCCTCCTGACACGCCGGCACCCGAAGTTGACCGTGCAGTCAGGGCTGTCCTGCTGGCCTGGCCCCCAGGTGCTGTCTTCAGCATTAAGTCCTGTGTCTGCCGAGGGTGTTCCTTACAAACATCTTTTTTCTGGGCGATGAAGTTGCCTCTACTCCCACTTCGCTGGGTTGTTTCTTAAATCATGAATAGAAATTGCGGTTATGAAATGCTCATTCTGCATCTCCTGAGAGGCGCATATGATTTCCCCTTTATTCCTCAAAGCGCAGTGGTAGACGCCCTTCCCGTCAACGAGCCTTGCTTCTGGAATGCACCCAGCGTGTCACGCCCCCTCCCGTGCGGTGGTCCATCCACCCGCTGCTGTCTGTCTGGGTCCCTGAGTCTGTGTCCTCAGGGGGACGGCCGGCCCTCCAGGCTTTGGTCCAGGTGTCCCCACCTTTCCCTGAGTCTGGTCTTCCGTGGGAGCCCAGGGGGTTGCTGTTGTCCCCTCAATTCTTGGGTAGATTTGCAGGTGAAGTCCCTTGGGTGAGCCCCGATTTGACCTAGGGCATCTGTTGGTGACCTCCCCTCCCCCAACGTGTGTGCTCAGGTCCTGCCTCTGACCACCACCATGTGAGGGGCATGGCCGGGGTCCTGAGTAAATGCAGGGCTTCCTCCACCTCCCGGCCCACGGCTGGATACAGGCTCTGAGCCCCATGGCCCCTGATGTCACCTGGCCTCCGCGCTGGGCTCTGTAATGTCCTCGTGGGGCTGTGAAGGCCTAGGGTCGGACAGCGGCCTGGCATTTGCAGCAGGACTTGCTTAGTGAAGAGGGGCTTCTACAGCCCTGGGGGTGGTGCAGTGAGGCAGGGGGGATCCTGGAAGGGCCTAGCAGGGTGGTCCTGCCCTGAGGGCGGGGGGCAGGTGGCCGCAGGGGTGGGGCGGGCCCTCCTGAGGCAGCCAGGGGGCGCTGGTGGCTGTGGGTGACTCAGAGACCGCTTTCTTTCCCAAAGTGGAGAGCAGGCCAGCCCACCTTCCCGGGCATTGACCTTAAACCTGGTCTGAGGGCACAGTTCCTTTTCCAGCATGAGGATGACCCCAACTTCCCCTGGGCCTGGTGTCCCAGTGGGGTCCCCATCCTGACCCGCAGTGGGGCTGGGGACTTGGGCAAGCAAGAGAGGACCAGGGCTATGGGGGGGGGACGCTTTAGGGAGCGGCCAGCCTGTGGGGGGTGCAGCAGGGGCCAGGAGAGTGGGGATCGGGAGGCAGAAGCCGGGACCACTCTGGGGCCTCGCCAGGGGCTGGAGGCCAGACTTGGTGGGCCGTGGGTGGGGGTGGGCTGTGACGTGACACGGAGGGCGTGACGGTCAGGGCTGCAGGCTTGGCCCTGGCGTCCGCTGCCCCTTTCCCGCTCACACGGTGTGGCGGCTCTGAGACCTGCCGCTCACCACCCCTGGAACATGAGGCCTGGGCTTCCCCCAAGCTGTGGACAGAAGCCCGTCCCAGGGAGCACTGCGGATGGCCAGGCCACAGGTCCCAGGGAAGGGGCAGGGGGTGCTCTGGCCAGAGAGGGCACAAGAGTCCATGGACACCGGGTGGCATCTGTGGGGAGCCCCCAGGCGTTGGTCAGGGTGGGGTTGGTGGGCTCTGCATAGCCCCGTGTTGTCCCCCCAGGCCAGGACCTGCTCCTGTTCCTGCAGGCCCTGCAGATGCTGTGGTCCACGCGGGAGCTGCGGCAGGTGAGTGAGCATGTGGGTGTGGGCCCCCTCCTCTGGCCTCAGTGGGCCACCCTGTCTGAAAGTTCTGGCAGACGCATGGGGGCTGGAGCCCTGGGCTGACACCCACTGGACACTGGTAGACACAGGCCCCTGAGGCTGAGACCAGGAGGCAAGGGCCTGTGGCCACCACCCAGCTTCTGCACAGCACAGGGGACCCAGTGGGCCATGAGCGCCTGTGTGCCGCATGGGGCCCGAGTGCTCATCAGTTCTCACTGGCTTTGCTCATGGCCTCCTGCCCCAGGGACAGGCTGTCTGGCCACTGGGAGATACGTGTGGCCTGGGCCTGGAGGGTGGCTTTGCCCGTGCGGGTGGTGAAGGTACTGCCTGACCCGTGGGCACCCCTGCCCTGCACTTTGCTCCCGGAAGCAGCAGAAGGGTAGGTGGCCCTGGTTCCCGGGGAGGACGTGCAAGTCGCCGTGGTGAAGGCTGCAGGGCCCATGCGTGGCTGGAGGGATAAGGCCCATGTCTCGTGTCTTGCCTCCTGCTCCCAGCTGAGGGTGGGCAGAGTGCCCAGACCCGGACCAAGCTCACTGGGGCAGGCGTCCAGCGCAGGTGCCCTCCGCGAAGGGGCTGTGGGCTTGTGGAGGAGGGGTGTCCATGAGCTATGGAGGCTGAGGGCGCTCCTGCCAGGCCCACGGCTGGCTTTGTGGCGCGGGGGGACCAGCGCCTGGCTAACAGATCAGCCAGACTTCTGGGGTCACCACCTGTGTGTGTGGGCGACAGGCCTGGGCTCCACGCACACCTGAGCTGAGGTGGCTGTCACCCTTCTCTCGACTGCCTGCGCTGAGGCTCTGAGCAGTTCTAGCCATCAGCTGGATAGGCCAAAGTTTTGGCAAAAGCCAAAAGCTCTTTTTAATTTTTGTATCCCGTGGCTTTGAGTTAATACAGAGGCAGCCTGACCATGTTATTTGGTGTACTGGCTTCACAGATTCTCCAGCTCAGGCTGCCCTGCGTGTGTGGGATGCACCTCCCCCGGTCATAGTGTGTGTGTGGTGTTTGTGAGCTTTTGTCTCTGTTCCCGGCGTCGAGGTGAACTAACCTCATAAATTGGGTTGAAAGTGTTTCTTCTGTTACCATTCTCTGGAACCGTTGGTTGAAGACCAGAATTCCTCGTTCCTGGAGGGTCTGGAAGAACACAGACCGTCCTGCCCGGGTGGGCTTGAGCCCGGGTAGGGGGACCGTTTCTGGGGGGCTTTCCGCTTCTAGTTTCTTGCCCTAGGAAGCTTCCACCTCACCCATGTCATCATGGCTGCCAGCCTGCGGTCCCCTGCGGTTCTCAAGACTCTCAGATGTGGGGGTCGAGGACAGTCCCTTGGCTCAGCGCTGTCCCATGGCTGGTGCTGGCCCCGCCACGGTCTCTCTTCTTTCCCAGGTGCTCACTGACAGGTGTGCATCCCCCGCTACGGTCCCTCCATCACAGGTCTCCAGAGGTAGGGCTCTGTCACCCGTCTTCTCAATCCTCATTAGGGCGTCTCCTTAGACTGATGTGTTACCAATTTCCAAGCACATGCGGGGTTGTTTTGAGCTCTTTCGTGACTTGTTTCTGTCTATGAAGGAGCACGTCCGTGTGTTCTCCTTTTTGGTGCTAGAGAGGCCTGTGTGCGTCTTGTGAGTGACCTGGGCAGCTGTGTTCTCCACCTGGGAGCCAAGCTTCTGCCCGGAGGGACACGTGCTGTCTCCCCTGGGTTCACTTGCCAGAACTGGTCCGGGGTGGGTGGGCAAGCACCGTGCCGCTCAGTGTCTGAGGTCGGACCCTGGTGATACCCCAGGGGCGGAGGGTCCCCGCAGGAGCCACTAGGCGGTGGGGCATGTGAGTGGCCAGGACAGAGGCTGCAGGTGGGGGAGGCGGGCTGGTGTGCTGTGGGGCCTGGGGCAGAGACGGGCAGTGGGTTTGGGGTGTCCTTGGAGCCCCCTGGGTGGGGACAATGGGAGAGATGATGGGCACAGGAGAGGTGAGCAAACGGGAAGGACGGTGTTCCCCAAGGCGGGGCCCACGGGGCAAACCCCGGGAGCTCGTCTGAAACACTGGCTCTCTCGGGCAGGCCCCCGCCCGGCTGAGGACAGGTCCGTGGGGCTCTGGCCCAAGCCCACGGGGGTGACTTCGGCAGCACCGAGTCCATGAGGTCCAGGGTGGGGCGGGCTCTGTGGGGCAGCAAGCTCACCTCTGGAGTGTGAGCTGGGGGTGACAAGACACGGGCCCCAGTGGATGGCAGAGGGGGGCTGGAGGAGCGGGCAGAGGGCAGGAGGGAGGGGGCGGCAGCCAGGGTTCCGGAGCCGGGGTCCAAGGGATTGTCGGTGTAGACACCGGGACCACCAAAAGCTGAGGAGTGGATTGGCACCGGAGAGGGGGCCGTGGGGCCTGGACTGAAGCCTTCGAGGACGAGGGGCGGCAGGTGGCCCGTGGGTGCTGGATCGTGTGAGAGGTCCACCCTGTGGCAGGAGAAGCAGACGCTACCCCTCGGGGCCCCTTGCGTTCTTCCCTGAATTTTTCTTCCGCCACCATTTAGGAGTGTTTCTCGTCTGCTTCCCAGACCAGAGTCCTGTCTCAGCACTTTTCCTCTGTGCTGTTGTGGTCATCACTCAAGGTGCATCGTCCTGTGTGTTCTGTGGGTTCTCACCGAGCGCCTATTAGTGAAGCTCTTTCCCACCGGTGGCGGCCCCCCGCGTGCCTGCCGAGCGGTCACAGAGCAATGGTGCTTCTCCTCCCGCGAGGGTGTCGCCAGGACCCACCAGCAGATGCGGAGGCACGTGATACCCCAGCCCAGGTGCGGGAGGGCGCCGATGGTAGCCCTGGGCCCTCGGAGGCCTCCTTTCTCACAGACCCCCCTCCTTTCCCGGGTGTTTGTAGAGGGAGACTTGCTCTCTGAGTTCCCACACACGTTTGAGGGGAAAGTGCATTTCACGTTTGGTGAGCATGCCAACTTGCTCAAGTATGGTGGTTTTAAAATTAGGTTCAGACTAAGTAGACGTTTGCTCTGCGTGTCCTGGGGAAGCATCGTCAACACAGTGATGCAAGGACCGAGGCCCATGTCCCGGTTCTGCACCGTGCTTCCTGCCCACGGCTCTGTGGATGGACCCCCTGGCCTGGGGGCTGCTGGGGGCTGCTGAGCTCAGCAGAGGCATCTGTATGGGGGAGGGCACGCAGACAGGACGCGGGTGACTCTCCGAGCTCCAGACCTGAGCAATGCTTTCCAAGGAGAGAGTTCTGGCCCAGGCCGGCCCCAGGCTGCTCTCAGGGCAGAGACGTGGGAAGGGCCATGGGGCCAACAGCAGAGGGGGTCTGCGCCTCCCTGCTGACTTCCCCTCCGCTGTTGCTTAGTCACTGGCAGGGGGTAGCGTGTGACCCAGGTTTGGTCAGCAGAACCCTGGGGAGGTCCCTGGGGGCTGCTGGAAGGCCCCCTCTCTCCAGGGAAGATGCCAGAGCAGAGCAAGGACCTGCCTGGCCCTCAGTGGTGAAGCTGCCATCCGCAAGGCCTGCGGACCCCGTGGGGCCTTGGCTTCTTCAGGGCTGCACCTACCTTGGCACCTGGGCCAGGTGAGCGTCGCCTCCATGGCGGTCCCAGGGATGGTGCAGGGCCATCTCTGCTTCAAGCCCCACTCCAAGCCATGGGCTGAGAGACTCCCAGCGGCGGGAGCGGGGGAGGCTTGGCTGTGTTGGGTAGGTCAGGCAAGCCCCCTGCACGACTGTCCAGCTTCCTGGGGGCCCCCGGAAGCTGACAGCCCTCCAGCTGCACTACTGGTCCCTTCAGCTGCTCTTCTGAGCCTTCTCATGGGAGGGGACAGAGCCAGCCCCCAGCTGCCGCTGCACCAGCAATGGGCAGTGGCCATCTCAGAAGGACATGCCCACTCGCTCCCCTTCTGCTGGCCACCACAGAAGGTTCCCACCGTGAAGGGCAGCTGGACGACCCCAGTGGAAGGAGCTGGCCCCACAGTTGACCATGGGGTGGATCTGGGGGCTCCAGGGGCCATCCTGCTGAGAAGGGGTCTGTGTGGCCTCCTGGGGCCCTCTTGGGCATCCTTCTGTCTGGCAGTGCAGCCAGACCTGGCCTCCCATCACCCCATCACAGGAAGGATGGTGGCTCTTTTGGAAAAGCCTTCGTTCTCCGTGGCCGCTGGTCAGTGGGCACTCAGCCCAGGGCTGGAGGGTCTCTCTTGGGCGGGATTCCTCCTTCCAGCCCCCTGCCCTGGGCCATGGCTGGGTGCACACCCTCTGCCCGGCTGATGGCCGGGGGCCGGGCAGGTGGGGGCTGCCCAGGGGAGAAAGGAGACAGGTGTTTACCTGAGCTCACCTTCCAAGGGGAAGGGCTGGCTGGCCGGTATGTAGGAGCTGCAGGTCCCAGCCATGCGGGCTCCGCACTCTGCTCGGTGAGCGTCTCAGAGCTGCTCTTCGGAGCCCTGAATGGGAACTGTACATGCACACGTCAGGACCAGACGAGAGCAGCCTCTTTCTAGATCTTTCCTTTCACGAGCAAGAAGGTGGTGGTCGTTCAGCCTCAGGTGTCTTTTCACACGTTCCTGGAAGGCGCGGGGCAGCTGGTGGAGATGGGACAGCGGCCCGGTGGCCCCTGAGACACCTGTGTGGCCCTGCCCGCCTGTCCCAGGGGGTGGCAGCCTCACAGTGTCGGAGGCTCGGGGTGCTCCCCTCGCTCCCCACAGGGTGGCCTTGGGCGTCAGGGTGTCTGTGTCCTGAGCTCACAGCCCAGACCCTGCAGCTCTGCCCTGAGGGAAGAGTGTCTGGGGCTCCAAGCGGGTCCGTAACTGCAGGGTGTTTCGGGGAACAGCAGAGTCAGGCAGAGGGCAGCCAGGGCCGGCCACACACGGGGAGTGGCACTCGGACGACACCCCACTCCCTCCAGGTAGGGGTCTTTCTCCTTTTCGCTCGCACCCGTTTCCAAATCCTCTGTAGTGCAAGAGGTGGAAAAGTCAATCAGAGGCGGTTTTCCCTCTTTTTTCTGTTTCTCGTTGCTTGCTGGGCCCCGCGACCACATCACTGCGTCTGAAGGACCGCGCGTGTCCTGGGCGCCACACAGGTTGTGGGGCGAGGCACAATGACTGGAGCCCATCCGAGGGCTCCTGCCCTTGGTCAGCCTTGGGGACGAGCCCCCCATCTTCACGGGACCACGACTGTGGACAGCGGCTGCCGCCCGGGATGCAGGGCACGGCGGGTCAGACCAGACCAGAGCCTGGTCTGGGGGAGGACAGCGCTGACTAGCCCCAGCTCCCTCTCTGAGCTGACCGCACTCTGGACGCACAGGTGCGGGAGGCTTTGCTGGAGGATTCGAGCATGACAGAACGACGGTGCGGTTCTGTCTCCACAGCCCCAGGGGAGGCCCAGTGGGGGTTCGCCGCCCTGGCCCCAGCCCCACCGGCTGTGTCCCTCCCAGCACCGTGGGCTCCACGCCTGCCCGAGCTGGCCTCTGTAGCCCTGGCTGGGCGGGGACTGGCGCCTCAGCATTGACTGTGCTCCTCGGTCTGTGGGCTTGACCCTCGGCCTCCCCACAACCACACATCTCCCTCACCTGTGCGTCTGCCCTCTAGGCCTTGCCCGCCAGGCATGTCCACCATGGGCACAGGACTCCTCGGCCAGGTCTGCCCTGGTACCATGACCCCAGCTGCAGCCCCCGCCCCCCAGGCCCCAGCTGAGGCTGGCTCTCTGGTCTCCCAGTGCAGTTTGAGGCTGAAGCAGCTGCAGGCCCATGTGGTCAGGGTCCTCGCTGAGAGCCCCCCTAGTCTCGTGGAGCCGCTGGTCAGCATCCTCCAGCTGCAGGATGCCGACCAGAGCCCCTGCTGACTCACATCCACCAGCTTCACCAGGAAGGCAAGTTCAAAGAAGTGAGTGTGACCCCCACGTGGGTCGTGGGTCAGGGCTGGGAGGGAGGGGCTCGGGGACACACCTTCTGATTCTTGGGCCGTGGGCCGGGTCTGCATGGGGGGTCAGGCAAGGGCTGGGCTGAGGGGGCTCACAGTGTCCACCCTGGCAGTGTCCTCCCTGTCCCTCCACTGTGGGGGGCTCCCCAGGGGTGGGGGGCTTCAGGTCTGGTGCAGAGGGCTTCAGGGACCAGCCACCCCAGGGGCCCAGCTCAGGGCTGTGCCAGATGTTGGGGTCCTGGGAGACTCTCATACTCACCAAGCTGAAAAAGAGTCATGCGAGCAGCCCCCACCCCAGGACCTGGGGTCCTTCCTCTTGAGGTGCCCACTGGGTCCTCAGGTGGGGTCAGAGGCCCAAGGACACGCTGGCTCTGGCCTGGAAGCCCTGTGGCCGAGCCGCTCACCTGAGATGCTGCTGTCCAAACTCATTCATCAGTTCCCCGAAACACTTGTGGGGGGCTAAGAGAGTCAGGGGTGTGGAGGTCCCTCTGCCCACAGCTGCCACCCCTCGGGCCTAGATCAGACAGCTGGACCTCCAAGCCCTCCCAGCCCAGAGCCTCCCAGGCCAGGGGAGCTTTTGCCAGGGAGCTCCCTCATGACCCTATGGAGTTGGAGGTCCCCTTCTCCCTCCTTCTGCCTCTGCCCAGGCCCACTCACTCACAAGGTCACTAGGCCTCTGTGTTGGCATGGCCTGGGGATGAGCAGCCCAGTTCCCTCTGGGCCCAGCTGCTTCTAGCTGCTGCTGGCTGAGGACACCACCATCCCCTTGTGTCCTCATGGGGGGCCCTGCAGTCACACCCACACCAGGCCTGGGGACTGGCTACTTTGCTCCTGTTCCAACAGCAGGGTCTGGCCTACAGGAATAGCCCCTCCATAGCCCTGAATGCTATGCCTGCCACCTCCCTGGACCCATCATGAGGCCCTGCCCTGGAGTGAGGGGGCCTCACTTGGGGTGACCCAACTCCTGCTATTTGGTGCCTCACTTGGATCAGGTCCGGCCAGTGGGGGTGCCCCTGTGAGGGTCAAGTGGTCCCCAGGACCAGCCCCTCGGAAATGATGCCCATGTTTGTTTGCAAAAGTTCAGTGTAGGGCACAGATTACTGGTCATGACGGCAGAGTTCTCCAGTGTGTGCAATGCTTTTGGACTTGGGGCCATGCCGGGGGCAGGTCATTTGGCTCCCTTGTCCTGGGAAGGCCTAGGTCAGAAGGGGCAAATGTGGAAATGTGGGTTTAGTAGCTACAAGTCTTTGGGTTAGAGCTTGTGGGGCTCTGGAGGGCTCAGTGGGTTTGTTGAGTCTCTGCTGTGAGTAGCACTGGCTCTCACTTAAGTCCAGAATTTTCCAAGAGAAGATGGAAGCGGGCCAGCAGCACCAGGAGTGGCTTGGCTCTGCGTGAGGCAGAAGGGAACAGGGGTCTGTGGTGAGTAGGGAGGGGTGGCTCCGTGTGGGGTGGCTCTGGGTGGTTGCTGCAGGCACAGGGGTCCCCGCGGCACCTCTGGGCCCTGAGATGTGACGATCACCACGTGGGGAGGCAGGCGGCAGAAAGGTCCTGGGGCGCCCAGCTCAGGGGCACGCTCTCACCGAGTCACAGGTCCAGTGTTCCGGGGGTATCCAGAGGCTCGCTCCTGGCTCACCTCCACCCACTGCCTCATCGGGCCCAAAGTCGAGCCTCACCGAGGGACAGCGGGGCTCATGGACCCCGCTCCCCACACCTGTGGTGGCTCAGGGCTCGGCGGTCACCGAGGCAGGATCCCAGGCCCACCCCACGGGGGGCCTCCTTCCCCGGGGGGCCAATCCCAGCCTGGAGGCTCACTGCAAGGTAGGCCTCGCCTGGACCGCCAGTCCTTGGTCCTTGGCAGTGTGGGCCCTGGGTTGGTGGCTGTCATGCCCCGGCCCAGGCTCTTGTCTCGAGGCTGGTGAAGGTGCTGAGAAACCAAGGTGACCAAGCCAGCGACAATGTGGCCGGGGCTCCGCTCCTGTGGCGCAGGGCCATTCTCCGCAGGCTGAATGAGCGGCTGGGCTTGCAAGAATGCGGGAGGCAGAAGGCGGGCTAGTGTTTCCGCGTCTTCTGTTACACCCGAGCCTTTCAAAGAGTGTCTAGGGCCGGCTGAATGCACCTCCCTCGCGCTCCAAGGCAGGAATCCCAACACAAAGGGGGCTCTTGTCCCGCACAGGCCCCTTCTGCGAAGAAAAGCCATTGTCCCCAAGCGGGGCGGCCCGGCAGGCAATGCACGCTCCAGTGCCCACCGCCGCGCCCGGCGAAAGGGACCGCATTCAGGCCTGTCCGCTCGGATTAGCAGGGACTCACGACTTAATGTGCGCCGATATTTCATGTCGAGGGCGGCGGCTGGCTCCGGGCAGGATGAATGCCCGCTTTTGTCTACTGAGTTATTTTATTTACATTTTTTAAACAGCTTATCAAGGTAAAAAGATAGCTTTGCTTCGGGGGGGTGGGGGGGAAGGCCCCTTGGCTCCAGGCCCGAGCTGAGCTGTGGAGGTGGGAGGCAGGCCGGTCCTGGGTCTGAAGCTGCTGAGTCTGGGCTTGGCTGCCTGGGCACCTGCCTGGCGCTCCTGCCCAGCAGAGTGGGTAGCCCGGGGGTCCATGGATGGTCTTCCCACGGTGGCCACCCGGCCCCTCCCCAAAGGCAGCAGCTCTGGCACCTGTCTGGCCAGAGGGGTCCCCAGCCTCACTCTGACCCAGCTGCTGGGCAGCCCAGTGCCTCCCTTCTCAGTGGCCTCCATGCAGAGGCCAGGAAGGCCAGGGAGGTGCCAGGGAGGCCCATTCCTCGGCAATGTCCTTTTGTGGGGTCTGAGCCCCTCCCACCTTCCCTGCCCATCACAGATGCCTGAGTCGACAGGTGATCTTCCTACACCTGCTGGGTCCCTCATGTGACCAGGCAGCGGGCAGCTTGGTCTGCTGTCACCTCAGCAGAAGCTCAGGCAGAAAAATGACCAGAGACAGATCCTAAGCCAGGCCTGATAACAGGGGTCGAACTACATGGAGCTCCCCCCACCCAAGATAGAAGCGAAGCCAAGGGTTCTGCTGTCAGCCATCCCCCCAGGGCACCCTCCCTGGCTGCCCCCTTCCTGCCCACCACACCCCTGGGCTATAGGTGCCGAATGAAGGCACCTCCCGAACTGTCCCCAGGGGTGCCTGTGGTCATCCAGCTCTGGGCACACTGGCCACGCAGGCAGGCCGCAGGACTGAGAGAGGTCACCCTGAGTGCTGGCTGGACGGAAAGCTGGTTGCTCTGGAGGGACCAGGGAGAAGAGAAGGGCCATGCTGAGCATGCTGACCCCTGTTACGACAGTCATTGTGTGGCCAGGTGGGGTGTGCTGAGGCCCAAGCTGCCCGCCTGGGGTAGGTAGGGCTGGCCCCAAGCACGGCCGGTGCCTCCACACCAGCCCCCAGCTCCCCTCAGCCAGTGGGCACCACTGACTGACCAGAGCCCTGAGGGCTGGGATTGGCACTGAGGACTACCCTGGGCCTCAGTAGCTCCTTAAGGGAGAGGCAGTCCCCGTAGGCAGAGGGACAGAACCCTCGGGGAGGCTGCTGACTGGGGTGCAGGCTGCCCTCTGTGGCAGAGCCTCTCCTGCTGCTGTGAGGGGCAGTGCCCACCGTGCACCCTTCCACCCAGGCCACCATTGCAGACTACCCCACACCCCAGGATTCAGGGGGGTTGTTGGGTGGGTGGGGGCCAAGACTCCCCCACAGCCCACTGAGGGCTGGGGCCTAAAGCACAGACGAAGTCTTGTCCTTAGGGGGGCAGAGGTAGCAGCTGGTAGAGGCTGATACCCCAGCAGAGGTGGTGAGGGGAGGGGGAGGCCCAGCCCCCCGGGGCCTCTCTGCCCCCTCCTCCTCCCCCCCTTGCCTTCTGGCTCCCCCCGCTTCATCTCTCCCCAGGTCACTGGCCCACGGCCTGGTCTGAAAGGTGGGAGGGTCCCGAGCCCCCAGGTATCCCTCCCACAGCCCCTTCCCAATGGTGGCCTGGCCTGACCAAGCCCCAGCTCCGGGTGTTGACCCCGGAGGAGCCAGGAAGCTAACCGGACATGGCAGATGCAGGACACAAGCAGTACGGTTCAACCACCCCAGTCTCCCTTCCTGGATGGGGGCCCTTCCTGGATGGGGGCCTGGTGCTCCCTTGGCTTCTCAGGGGGTCTCCCATCCAGAAACGATAAGGTCCTCCCTCCTCCAGCCCTGGCCCCTCCCCAGGCCCTGCCCCTCTGCACCCTCCCCCGGGCCCCCGCGGGGCCTGGCAGCGGCCGAGCTCCTGGACCTCGGCCAGGCTGTGGAGGCGCCGGGTCAGCGCCGCGCAGGGAAAGGCCCCTGGCCCTGCGCCCCCGCCCCGCGCGATCCAGGCCCGGAGGCCTGAGCGAGCCTTTCCCAGGCCTCTATTTTGGTCCTTTGTGTGAGCTGCGTGGGGCGGGGCGCCCGGCTGCTCCCCCGGTTATTTTTGCTCATAATGGGAGCGCGATGTATGGAAATTATTAATAGTAGCTGGGCCTGCGCTACGTGCGGGCCCTCAGGGCCCCGGGCGCTCTCTATGCTGAGCCGCAGGAGGGTCCCTGCGGCCGTGAGCAAGGGCCGTGTGGGGGTCAGGGTTCTCGGCCGTGCCCAGTTCCCCATTCCTAGGACCGCTGCGCTCCCCGCCTCACCAGGACGCAACTGGGTTCAGAGCCTCTTCCTCTGTGGACCAAAGGGGCATCCCCCAACATACAGACCCCACCACTCCCCCTGGGGCCAGCCCACCCTTTTGGACAGACAGCTATGCACTCATTAGTTGTTTTGGGGTGCACACAGAGCATGCCTTGTGGAAAGTGCTCAGAGGCCCCTGCACCTCAGAGCCATGGTCCTGCAGGCCCCCAGGGTGCATAGCCCTGGCCCCTGGCTGTAAGCACCATGACTGGCCATGCCTGGCACTTGCAGGTGGAGGGCACACTTCTGGGTGGTATGCAGCAGGTGAGAGCAGGTGTGGGGAAAGCACAGTGTGCCATTGTCTGGGGGTAGGTGACAGAGCTCCTGCCTCTTGTCTGCCCCCTTCTTGGTCCTCTGTCCACTCATCGGCAACCCCCGACCAGAGCCACCTGGGCCCAGCACCCACCCTGATGCCCATCCAGGCCACACCCCAGCCTGGCAAGACCCACCTGCCCGGGGCACTCCCAGCTGCCCCGCCTCCTGTGGAGCCTGGCTCGTCCGCCTGGAGGCTTCTGGATCCCAGGCCACTGGACCTGTGCCTTCAGTGACTGGGAGGTGTAGAGGGGTTCCCCACCAGGCCGGGTGTAACCTGCTGCACTTGTGATCGGCAGGCCGTTATGCTGGGCTTGAAGATGAAGCTGCAGCTCGAACTTGATGTCAAAAAGGTAAGTGTCAGGCACCTGGGTGGCTCAGTCGTTAAGCATCTGCTTCAGCTCAGGTCATGATCCCACGGCTCCCTGCTCAGCGGGAAGCCTGCTTCTCCCTCTCCCGCTCCCCCTGCTTCTGTTCTCTCTCTCTCTCTCTCTCTCTCTCTCTCTCTCTGTGTCAAATAAATAAATAAAATCTTAAAAAAAAAGAAAGAA